GGGAGGATGGGGGAGGCAGGATGGAGGAGGAGAGGATGGGGGGGAGGAGGAGGATGGGGAGGAGAGGATGGGGGAGGAGGAGGAGGAGGACGAGGCTGGGGAGGAGGAGAGGAGGGGGGCGGATGGGGGAGGAGGAAGGAGGTGGAGAGGATGGGGGAGGAGGAGGATGGGGGAGGGGAGGATGGAGGGAGAGGATGGGTGGGAGGAGGAGGAGGAGGAGCGGGGGGGCAGGAGGAGGAGGGAGGGGAGGATGGGGATGAGGAGGTTTAGGAGGGGAGGAGGGGATGAGGAGGGGAGGAGGAGAGGAGAGGGAGGGATGGGGGAGGAGGGGGCGGAGTAGGAGGAGCGGGGGAGGAGGAGGAGGGGAGGAGGAGGAGGAGGTGGTAGAGGAGGGGGAGGAGGAGTGTGAGGAGGGGGAGGAGGAGGGCAGGATGAGGGAGGATGGGGGATGTGGAGGAGGCAGGATGGGGGAGGATGGGGGAGGAGGAGGGCAGGATGAGGGCTTGAGGGGAGGATGGGGTGGAGAGTAGGAGGGCAGGAATGAGGGGAGGATGGGTGGGGAGGATGAGGGGAGGATGGGGGAGGAGGAGGGCAGGATGAGGGGGAGGATGGGGGAGGAGGAGGGCCGAGGGCAGGGGAAGGGAGGAGGAGGGGGCGATGGGTTTTATGGGGAAGGGAGGAGGAGGGGAGGGATGGGGGAAGGGAGGAGGAGGGGAGGATGGGGGAGGATGGGGGAAGGGAGGAGGGGGGAGGATGGAGGGGAGGATGGGGGAAGGGAGGAGGAAAGATGGAGGAGGAATGGGGGGATGGGATGAAGGACTGATGGGGATCGAAACCCCCCAAATCACCCGGAATTTGCGGCTCCCACGGAACATTATGCACGAGCTGATGACGTCTCCTGGAGGGAACCAGGAACACACAATATACAGGGGAGGCTGGGCAGAGTTAGACCAATGAGGGGGGGGGGCCTGGTACAGGGCAGCATACACCTAATTGCAGGTCAGGAAACACAAAAAGGGGACAAGTGGGGATGAAGGGGGAACAAGGGGGGAGGAGGGGGGGAGAAGGGGGGTGAGGGGGGGAAAGGGGGAGGGCCGAGGGAGACGGGAGGGAGGAGGGGGGGATGAGGGGGGGAGGAAGGGGGGTGGATAGGGGGGACGCGAGGAAGGGATGAGGGCTAGGGGGGGGGAAGCGAGGAAGGGAGAGGGAGGGTGGGGGGAGCGAGGGGGAGAGGGAGGAGAGGGGGCGAGTAGGAGCCAGAAGAAGGGGACTCGAGGAGAGGGGGGGGGGAGGAGAAGGGAGAGGGGAGGGGGGGAGGAGGGAGGAGAGGGACGAGGGAGGGGGTGGGCGAGAAGGGAGGGGAGGGGGGGGGAGCGAGAAGGGAGGGGTGAGGGGGGGGGCGTGGGGAAGGAAGGAGGGGGGGGGAGCGAGTAGGGAGAGGGAGGTGGGGGGGAGCGAGAAGGGGGGGGAAGGGGGGGGGAGGGGAAGGGAAGGTAGGGGGGGGGGGGGGGAGCGAGAAGGGGGGGGAGGGGGGGGGAGGGAGCGAGAAGGGAGGGGGGGGGGGGGGGGGCGGTGGGGGGGAGGGGGGGGGGGAGGAGGGGGGGGAGGGAGCGGGAAGGGAGGGGGGGGGGGGCGGGGGGAGGGGGGGGGGGGGGGGGAGGGGGGAGGGGAGGGTGGGGAGGGGAGGGGGGGGGGGGGTGGGGGGGGGGGGGCGGGCGAGGAGGGGGAGGGGGGGGGGGGGGGGGTCGAGTGGGGGATGGAGGGGGAGGGGGGGGGGGGGGGAGGCGAGGGTTAGGAGGGCGGGGGGGGGGGGAAGGGGGGGAGGGGAGCGAGGGGAGGGGGACGGGGGGGGGGGTGGGGCGGGTGGGGAGCGGAAGAGGGGGGGGAGGGGAGGGGGGGGGGGGGGGGGGGACGGCGGGAGGGGTGACGGGAGAGGGGACGGGGGGGGGGAGCGGTAGAAGGGCATGCAGTGGGGGGGGGGATGGGGAGCGCAAACGGGGAGGGGGGTGCGGGGGCTCGGATGCGAGGGATCAGGGAGGGGGGGGGGGGGAGGGGGGAGCGAGAAGGGTGAGCGGGGGGGGGGGGGGGGGGCGGGGACGCGAGGGGAAGCTTAAGGGCGGGAGGGGGGCGGGGGAGGGGGAGGGAGGGGGGGGGGATGGGGGGGGGAGGGGGGGGGTGGGGAAGGGGCGGGGGGGGGGGGGGGGGGGGGGGAGCGGGGGGGAGAGGGGGGGGGGGGGGGGAGGGGGAAGGGGGGGTGGGGGGGGGGGGGAGGGGGGAGGTGGGGGGGGGGGGGGGAGCGAGAGGAGGGGAGGGGGGGGGGGGGGGGGGAGGAGAGTGATGCAGGGAGAGGGGGGGGGGGAGCGATGGGAGAGGGGGGGGGGGGCGAGGGAGGGGGGGGGGGGGGCGGAAGAGGGAGGTAGGGGGGGGGGCGGACGAGAGGGAGGGGGGTGGGGGGGAGCGAGAAGGGCGAGATGAGGGGGGGGGGGGGGGGAGGGGGTGGGGGGGCTGGAGGAGAAGGGGGGGGTGGGGAGCGAGAAGGGAGAGGGGGGGGGGTGGGGAGCGAGAAGGGTGAGGGGGGGGGGGCGCGAGAAGGGAGAGGGGGGTGGGGGCGAGAAGGGGGGGGGGGGGGGGGGGGGCGAGAAGGGGAGGGGGGGGGGGGGGGGGCGAGAAGGGAGAGGGGGGGGGGGGAGAGGGGGGGGGGGGAAGGGATGTGAGGGGGGGGGGAGCGAGAAGGGAGGGGGGGGGGGGGAGCGAGAAGGGAGGGGGCGGGGGGGGGGCGGGAGGAGAAGGGAGGGGGGGGAGCGAGGGGCGGGGGGGGGGGGGGAGCGAGAAGGTGAGAGGGAGGGGGGGGGGGCGGAAGGCGAAGAGAGGAGGGGGGGAGGGGGGGGGAGGGATCGAGAAGGGAGGGGGGGGGGGGGGGGATGCGAGAGAAGGGAGGGGGGGGGGAAGGGAGAGGGCGGGGGGGGGGAAGGGAGCGGGGGGGGTGAGGGGAGGGAAGGGAGAGGGGGGGGGAGCGAGAAGGGGGGGGGGGGGAGCGAGAAGGGAGGGGGGGGGGGAGCGAGAAGGGAGAGGGGGGGGGGGGGGGGGGGGGGGGGGGGGAGCGAGAAGGGAGATGGGGGCCGCGGAAGCGAAGACGAGGGAGAGGGGGGGGGGGGGGAGCGAGAAGGGAGAGGGGGGGGGGGGAGAAGGAGAGAAGGTGAGAGGGGGGGGGGGGCGAGAGGGAAGGGGGGGGGGCGCGAGAAGGGAGAGGGGGGGGGGGAGCGAAGAAGGGAGAGGGGGAGGGGGGGGAGCGACGAGGGGGGGGGGGTAGGGAGGGAGGGGGGGGGGGGGGAGCGAAAGAAGGGAGAGGGGGGGGCGGGGGAGAGGGGAGCGAGAAGAAGGGAGAGGGGGCGGGGGAGCGAGAAGGGAGGGGTGGGGGGGGGGAGCGAGGGGGAGGGGGGGGAGCGAGAAGGGAGGAGGGGGGGGGGAGCGAGGATGGGGAGGGAGAGGGGGGGGGGGGGGGGGGGGCGGGAGCGAGAAGGGGGGGGGGGCACAGGGGGGGGGGGGGCGGGGAGCGAGAAGGGAGAGGGGGGGGGGTGGGAGAAGGACTGGGGAGGGTGGGGGGGGGGGAGCGAGAAGGGGAGGGGGGGGCGGGGTGAGCGAGAAGGGAGGGGGGGGGGGGAGCGAGAAATGTCCATGGAGGGGGGCGACAAGAAGGAGCGAGAAGGGAGAGGGGGGGGAGCGAGAAGGGAGGGGGGAGGAGCGAGACGGGAGAGGGAGGGGGGGAGCTCTAGAAGGGAGAGGGAGGGGGGGGAGCGAGAAGGGAGAGGGGGGGGGGGGGAGCGAGGAAGGGAGAGGGGGGGGGGGGGGGGGGGGGGAGCGAGAAGGGGAGAGGGGGGGGAGGAAAGAGGGGGGTGGGAGCGGAGAAGGGGGGGGAGGAGCGAGAAGGGAAAGAAGGGAGGGGGGGGGGGGATCGAAAGGGGGGGAAGGAAAGAGGGGGGAGGGAGAAAAGAGGGGGAGAAGGAGGGGGGGGGGGAGGAAAGAGGGAGGGGGGGGAAGAAGGGAGGGGGGGGGGGAAGAGCGAGAAGAAGGGACGAGGGGGGGGGGGGAGGAAGGGAGAGGGAGAAAGGGAGATGGGGAGGAAGAGGGAGAAGGAGGGGGGGGAAGGAAGGAAAGAGGAAAAAGAGAAGGAGGGGGGGCGGGGGAGGGAAAGGAGAAGGAGGAGGGGGGGGGAGAAGGAGGGGGGGGGGGATGCAGGGGCGAAGGGGAGAAGGGGAGAGGGGGGGGGGGGCGAGGGAGGGAAACCAAAGAAGGAGAAGGGGGGGGGGAGGAAAAGAGGAGAAGGGGGGGGATGAAAGCGGGAGAAGGTAGGGGGGGGAGGAAAGAGGGAGAAGGAGGGGGGGGAAAGAGGAAAGACGGAGGGAGAAGGAGGGGGGGGGGGAGGGAAAGAGGGAGAAGGAGGGGGGGGGGTGAAAGATGGAAAGGAGGGGGGGGGGGAGAAGGAGGGGGGAGGGGAGGAAAAGGGAGAAGGAGGGGGGGGGGGAGGAAAGAGGGAGAAGGAGGGGGGGGGGAGGAAAGAGGGGAGAAGGAGGGGGGGGAGGAAAGAGGGAGAAGGAGGGGGGGGGGGAGGAAAGAGGGAGAAGGGGGGGGGGGTGAAGGAGATAAGAGGGAGAAGGGGGGGGGGGGGGGAGGAAAGAGGGAGAAGGGGGGGGGGGGAGGACAGAGGGAGAAGGGGGGGGGGGGAGAGGAAGGAGGGAGAAGGGGGGGAAGAGGAAAGAGGGGGGGGGAGAGGGAGGTGAGGTTAGGGGTAATAGGGGGGGGGGAAAAGAAACGTTAGGGTTATGGGGGGGGGAAGGTCCAAATCGTTTAGGGTAATGGGGGGGGGGGAGAAGAAACGTTAGGGTAATGGGGGGGGGAGGAAACGTTAGGGTAATGGGGGGGGGGGGGGGTTAGGGTAATGGGGGGGGGTTAGGGTAATGGGGGGCCCTCCTGTTGCTCGCACTCACCCTTCCTCTCTGTGCCGGCATCAGTGTTCCTGTCCGGGATATACTGGCTGCAGAGGAAACAGGAGATCAGACACAGAGCATCCTTCACCCCACTACAACCTCAGACACCCGAGCAACTGTGACACCCACACCACCAGATTGTGCCCCATAATGTACCCTTCGGCCCCCCCCCCATGTACTGTACCCCATAATGTGCCCTCCACCCCGCCCCCCACCCATGTACTGTGCCCCTAATGTGCCCTCCCTCCACCCCGCCCCCCCCCCCCCCCCCCCCATGTACCTTGTGCCCCATAATGTGCCTCCGCCCCCCCCCCCCCCATGTACTGTGCCCCATAATGTGCCCTCCACCCCACCCCCCCCCATGTACTGTGCCCCATAATGTGCCCTCCGCCCCGCCCCCCCCCCCCATGTACTGTGCCCATAATGTGCCCTCCGCCCCCCCCCCCCCATGTACTGTGCCCCATAATGTGCCCTCCGCCCCCGCCCCCCCCCCCAATGTACTGTGCCCTATAATGTGCCCTCCGCCCCCCCCCCCATGTACTGTGCCTCATAATGTGCCCGATGTTCGGGGGGGGGAGCTGAATGATTTTCAGGGGTTCCCTGAGATCTCAGAGTTCCTCCAAGGTAGGAAGGAGGAGAAATCACCCCAACCTACAACTAAAGGCAGAACCGGGGGGGAAGAGAGACCAATCAAGGGGGGGGAGGGGGGCGAGACCCCCCCCCCCCCAGGTGTCCGGAGACTAAAGAAAACCCCCATATTCCGAAATGTAAGAGTGTCCACACCGGGACTTCCAGGTGGGATAGAAGATCTTTCTGGAAGGGTGGGAATGTCAGGGACCCCTCTGTCCCCAAATCTTGGGTTCCAGCCATGCCGGTAACACCAGGGACTGAGAACCAGGATAGAATAGAGGGGCCCCCCAGGATATCAAGCCTGGTCTGCACAGAAGGGCCCTGGGGTGGTCTTCTAGCAGTCTCAGTATATGTTCCAGGTCCTTCATGGAGCAGTGGAGACCACATGGGAGACCACGCTGCAGGCCACATGGGAGGCCACGCTGCAGGCCACATGGGAGGCCACGCTGCAGGCCACATGGGAGGCCACGCTGCAGGCCACATGGGAGGCCACGCTGCAGGCCACGCTGCAGGCCACATGGGAGGCCACGCTGCAGGCCACGCTGGAGACCACATGGAGGCCATGCTGGAGGAAAGGCTGAGATCAGCCTGAACGGAGTCCAGGAAACCATCCAATGCCAGTGCTGGAGGATCCTAGGTCCCGGCCACAGAGGTACCTTCCTGAACCCAGACCGGGAGGTCCATGTCCTCATCACATATCAGGGTGAAGGGCCCATTCCTCAGCACCAGGAATGTGGGGGTGCAGCAGAGATGAGCACAGGTGTGTTCACATCTTCATCTGATCAACCCTGAATATGACCTACCCGCAGACAGTGATGGTGGAGGACCTACCCGCAGACAGTGATGGTGGAGGACCTACCCGCAGACAGTGATGGTGGAGGACCTACCCGCAGACAGTGATGGTGGAGGACCTACCCGCAGACAGTGATGGTGGAGGACCTACCCGCAGACAGTGATGGTGGAGGACCTTCATACAGACAGTGATGGTGGAGGACCTACCTGCAGACAGTGATGGTGGAGGACCTACCTGCGAAGAGGAGGCCGAGTAGCCCGGTGGCGCTGTTGATGAAGAGGTTCTGGATGTTGGTGGGGACGGTGTCTCGGTTCTTCTCCAGAAACCCGTCTGCTGTGTACTGGACCTGGGGGGACATCGGGACAATGAGGACACACAGCCGGCACCCCTCCCCCTTGTCTATAATGTCACAAAGGGGCGGGACACTGAAGACAGGGTGGGGCTAATTCAGCACCATACAGGGAAGACTCAACCTCCCAGCAAAGGGGCCCCTCCACTCAACCTCCCAGCAAAGGGGCCCCTCCACTCGCCTTCCCAGCCCGGGGGCCCCTCACTCGCCTTCCCAGCAAAGGGGCTCCTCCACTCACCTTCCCAGCAAAGGGGCTCCTCCACTCACCTTCCCAGCAAAGGGGCTCCTCCACTCACCTTCCCAGCAAAGGGGCTCCTCCACTCACCTTCCCAGCAAAGGGGCTCCTCCACTCACCTTCCCAGCAAAGGGGCTCCTCCACTCACCTTCCCAGCAAAGGGGCTCCTCCACTCACCTTCCCAGCAAAGGGGCTCCTCCACTCACCTTCCCAGCAAAGGGGCTCCTCCACTCGCCTTCCCAGCAAAGGGGCTCCTCCACTCGCCTTCCCAGCAAAGGGGCTCCTCCACTCGCCTTCCCAGCAAAGGGGCCCCTCACTCGCCTTCCCAGCCCGGGGGCCCCTCACTCGCCTTCCCAGCCCGGGGGCCCCTCACTCGCCTTCCCAGCCCGGGGGGCCCCTCACTCGCCTTCCCAGCCCGGGGGCCCCTCACTCGCCTTCCCAGCCCGGGGGCCCCTCACTCGCCTTTCCAGCCCAGGGGCCCCTCACTCGCCTTCCCAGCGAAGGGGCTCCTCCACTCACCTTCCCAGCCCAGGGGCCCCTCACTCACCTTCCCAGCCCAGGGGCCCCTCACTCACCTTCCCAGCCCAGGGGCCCATCACTCACCTTCCAGCCAGGGGCCCATCACTCACCTTCCCAGCCCAGGGGCCCCTCACTCACCTTCCCAGCCCAGGGGCCCCTCACTCACCTTCCCAGCCCAGGGGCCCCTCACTCACCTTCCCAGCCCAGGGGCCCCTCACTCACCTTCCCAGCCCAGGGGCCCCTCACTCACCTTCCCAGCATAGTGGTGGATGATGAATCCGGGGTCCCTTCCTCGCGCTCGTTCCAGGTGCGGATTTGTTTTACATTCGATGCAAAGCTTCTCCAGGAAAGTGGCATCCGAGGCTGCAGGGGGGAGGGAACAACACTCAGTGTAGGGATCAGAGGGGGACACGGGGGGCCGATTGTGGTTCCGGGGGCCAAGGGGACAGGTTCTCTTTAATGGCTGATTTACCATTTCCTGTCCAGGGCAATGTTCCGGGGTCACCAGTCACTGGAGGGACCCGGAGGTTCCGGGGTCACAGTCACTGGAGGGACCCGGAGGTTCCGGGGTCACCAGTCACTGGAGGGACCCGGAGGTTCCGGGGTCACCAGTCACTGGAGGGACCCGGAGGTTCCGGGGTCACCAGTCACTGGAGGGACCCGGAGGTTCCGGGGTCATCAGTCATTGGAGGGACCGGAGGTTCCGTGGTCATCAGTCATTGGAGGGACCGGAGGTTCCGTGGTCATCACTAGGTGGACGCAGTGGATGACACTCACCCGCGGGAAGGAGGTCTGCTCATCGAGAATGGAGAGGATGCCGGCCGGCCGGGACAGAAAAAGGTCCTTATAGAGAGAAAAGAGCGACATTAATACCGAGCGTTCTGTGCAAACCAGGAGAACGAACTTTTTCCTGTCCTACAGAGGACCGCCCACCACTCCAACCATCCATAGAGAGAGAGCCAATCCTGACAACATAGGACCGCCCACCACACAACCAAACCATCCATAGAGAGAGAGCCAACCTGACAACAGAGGACCGCCCACCACACACCAACCATCCATAGAGAGCACCAACCCTGACAACAGAGGACCGCCCACCACCCCAACCATCCATAGAGAGAGCACCAACCCTGACAACAGAGGACCGCCCATCACTCCAACCATCCATAGAGAGAGCACCAACCCTGACAACAGAGGACCGCCCACCACACCAACCATCCATAGAGAGAGAGCCAACCCTGACAACAGAGGACCGCCCACCACACCAACCATCCATAGAGAGAGCACCAACCCTGACAACAGAGGACCGCCCATCACTCCAACCATCCATAGAGAGAGCACCAAGACTGACAACAGAGGACCGCCCACCACACCAACCATCCATAGAGAGAAGCACCAACCCTGACAACAGAGGACGGCCCACCACACCAACCATCCATAGGTCTGCTATAGAGAGAGCACCAACCCTGACAACAGAGGACCGCCCATCACTCCAACCATCCATAGAGAGCACCAACCCTGACAACAGAGGACCGCCCACCACCCCAAACCATCCATCCATAGAGAGAGCACCAACCCTGACAACAGAGGACCGCCCACCACCCAACCATCCATAGAGAGAGTACCAACCCTGACAACAGAGGAACGCCCACCACTCCAACCATCCATAGGTCGGCTATAGAGAGAGCACAAACCCTGACAACAGAGGACCGTCCACCACCCCAACCATCCACAGAGAGAGAGCCAACCTGGACAACAGAGGACCGCCCACCACCCCAACCATCCATAGGTCTGCTATAGAGAGAGTACCAACCAACCCTGACAACAGAGGACCGCCCACCACCACCAACCATCCATAGAGAGAGAGCCAACCATAACAACATAGGCCCGCCCACAACCCCAACCATCCATAGGTCTTCTATAGAGAGGGCGCAAACCCCGACAACAGAGGACCGCCCACCACCCCAACCATCCATAGAGAGAGCGCCAACCCTGACAACAGAAGACCGCCCACCACCCCAACCATCCATAGGTCTTCTATAGAGAGAGCGCTAACCCTGACAACAGAGGATCTCCCACCACCCCAACCATCCATAGAGAGAGCACCAACCCTGACTACAGAGAACCGCCCACCACCCCAACCATCCATAGAGAGAGCACCAACCCTGACTACAGAGGACCGCCCCCACCACCCCAATCATCCATAGATCATCTACAGAGAGGGGGCCAACCCGACAACAGAGGACCACCCACGACTGCCCACCACCCCAACCATCCATAGATAATCTACATAGAGGGGGCCAACTCTGACAACAGAGGACCGCCCACCACCCCAACCATCCATAGATAATCTACAGAGAGGGGGCCAACCCTGACTACAGAGGACCGCCCACCACCCCAACCATCCATAGGTCGTCTATAAAAACAGCGACAACTGTGTCTACCCCAATGACATGACTAGATGAATGAAAGTAAAGACCTTATAAAGTATTAAAACTCATCATGTGACCTCTTCCTGGTGGAGACCATCACTGGTGCTACGTACCAAGATCGGCTGGTGTTGACAAAGGAGACGGCATCTTGCTGGATCCCTTCCTGCAGATAATGCTGCTGCTCCATCAGGAAGATGTGCTGAGATACAATACAGGCCCGTTACAATCTGCGATTTGCACCCCTCTCTAGTTTAGGATCGCATTCGCACAGATCATTATAGACTCACATGGTTGAAGAAGTTCTGCAGCTGCTCATTGGCCAGGTTTATACACAATTGCTCAAAGCGATTCACAGCAAAGTTCTCAAAACCAAAAATGTCCAAAATACCTGAGAAGATAAAAGGAAGACTCTTCACGTGTCCAGCCTGAGGAACGATCGCCTGTAATACCGCATTATCGTATATATTTATAGGAGACACAGGATGGCTCACCTTCCACCCAACAGATATAAATGTCGGGGTACAGGGGTACCTGGTGTGTGCCGGGACATCCTACTTACCATCAAATCCATTTCTTGGACTCCATTAAGGAACACAGGAATTCAGATACATTCGGGGTATACTGCCGCCTACACGAGGATTGGACATTGGCAAACAAATATCGCATTTCACTTTCTCTACCCAGCATGCCTCAGTTTTGTGACAAAGCAGTACCAGGAACATGAGCAGAAGGTAAGAGATGGGGCCATAATGGACTCAGATGTATTTTACGGGAAGCACCAAAATCCTATTTTTTTTCTGATCTATTGAGGAACAAGGCACATCAGATACATTTGAGACATCCAAAAGAAGGATGGGCAACACAGAACCACTAAAATGCCTCCCTAAGAGCACTGGGCCTTGTCTGCAGCCCTGAGCCACTTGGGAGGACCAATGCCCCAGTCTAAAACCAGAAGAGATGGGGTTCCCAACCAGATAGGGGACCAATCAACACAACCAAGGGGAGAATTTGATCAACCGAACCCACCAAAAACTGGTGGAAGATGAACAAATTCACAAACAGGGAAAATAAGACCTACAATCTAATGTGGAGACAAAAGATACTTGGGGCACCCCCGAAAGTAGCGGGTGCCATGAGAGAACCTACTACAAAAATACAGAAGAATCTGGACCACATGGGTCTAAGAAGCTCATAACTCCCCACAGTATGCACCTAAAGGACAGAACAATGGACGGCATCTGGTTACCTTTCAGAAGAGGTTGTGGGTTAGCCAAAAAAAAAAAAAATAATTCCCAAATGAAAAGGTCCCACAAAGTGCTCCAGGCATACTCTATCCTCAGCAAAAGGTACCTGCAGCAGGAGATTAGAGTTTTGGCCTGCTGACAATCTAGGGGGGGGCACAGGTACCTCCTATGATGATCTCCACCCATAACATAGGAACTGAGACCTCTGCTCTTGGCGAAGAGACTACCAGATTAGGAGAGACAGTTTCCAAGGCAAGGTCTATAGGAAAGAAAGTGCAAGCGAGACTAATATTGTGACATTGTCCAGCACGTGGGCCAGGCCACTTCTTCCTGAGGGTGAAGTCACCGCAACATCTAGATGGTATCCAACAGAGTCCAAACTAGGAAACTTTGCCAAGGCAGGATCCCACCCAATGTGGAGGTAACTGTTTGTTGTGAGGAACCAGGACAGTAGCCCTGGGGACGGAGGTACACTTGCAAGTGGATTCCTCCCCAGGTAACAGGAGAAGAAACAACCACAGTCGCCTGAAGAGTTATCTGGCCTATTGAGACAGGTTTGTTGGCCTGCTCTAGAACCCAAGGCCAAGACAACAGAAGGTGGGGGGGGCTGTAAAAGGACAGGAAAACAAATAGAAGGTGAGAACTGCCCTCTACACTCAAACAATGGTGAACTCCCTGCCTAATCGCAAGTAACCTAAATGCACAAAGGGTGTGAACCTTTCAAGCAAGAGTTAAACTGCACTGCTTTGCTCACCGGTGAAAGGTATCTGCCAGTGCTGAAATCTGGCCAAGCTTGAGATGGAGAGATCTTGCAGTTGTCGGGCCCTTTGAGAAGGTGCAGACTACAAGGGTCAGTAGAGTCGATTCTCTTCATAGGATGGCACAAGACTAAACACGAGGGATGATGCTCTGAAAAGTACCAAGTGTGTCCCGGAGACACTGAAACTAAATGTAGTTATCCAAAGCTGGTCCCACAAAACCTTGTCAGGAGTCCATCTGAAGGGATAATGGCAGGTATCACCAGGGGCTTCATCACCCAAGGACAGGGCATCTTCCTGAGAAAAGGAGTAGATGCCAGATGGATCCAGAGCCATTATATAGACTGAAGCAAGGAGTCCCAAGGTGGAGAAACCAGACAGACCGGGGAAGGCGCAGTACCCAGTAGAGTAACACAGGAGAATTACTAAAGAGCACCTGATGGGGCCCAGAAGCAAGGGATTAACCTGTGGCTGAGAAAGGGGCTCTCTGCACCTGAATGTCAGAAAGGCAACTACCCAAGGACTCACCAGGATACACAATCAGCCCCCAATAGAAGTGGGGTGCACCGTCATGCAAAAGGCTGTTCAAGAGGTTCGATGACTTCTGCATTCAAGCTCTATGGGAGGAATGGGGGACAGGCTCTGAAGCCCTGAGGGCACCTACTGCAGAAGTGGATGGTGGAAGGTAGGATTCAACCAACCTCTCCCTAAATCTCCCAAGTTGAGGCAGGAATATGCTCTGGCCTACTGTGGTACTCACAGTGTGAAGAGACGGAGGACACAAGTTCAGAAGTTTGTAATAAGCCATCACAACTGAAGCACAACGCTCCAGACATTGGCTCCACATGCGCAATGAGAGGTTGGACCCAGTCAAACATGGTGGACACATTATGTCACTGTCAACACAGAACAGATGGGCAGAACCAGCCAGTTCACACTGGGGTTTAAGGAGGGAGTTTAGATGTCTGTAATTAAAATCCTTAAAGGTTTATATGTCTTCTACCCCATCTACTGGTGTTCCGGGTTAAGGTAAATCACTAGAAGCAACTCCAGGTGGGATCCAGGACCCTTCGGGGGGCATCCAGCCCATATAGATATGGGGGATACAATAGGAAGACCTTACCAGCTGTAGGAGCTTGAGACAGCAGGTCCATCCCCTAAATGCAGGGCATCAATAAGGCCACAATTCTGAGATGACGGCAGGAGACTGTGGTGCCTCAAAAACAATCTCTTCAGAGACAGAATGTCCCCACTCAAGATCTGAGTCAGAGATGGTCACAGGATCTAGCCTGGCCTCATCCAAGTACCCGGAAGGGTCAGAGATTGACCTGATCCAAGTACCCGGAAGGGTCAGAGATTGGCCTGATCCAAGTACCCGGAAGGGTCAGAGATTGGCCTGATCCAAGTACCCGGAAGGTCAGAGATTGGCCTGATCCAAGTACCCGGAAGGGTCAGAGATTGGCCTGATCCAAGTACCCGGAAGGGTCAGAGATTGGCCTGATCCAAGTACCCGGAAGGGTCAGAGATTGGCCTGATCCAAGTACCCGGAAGGGTCAGAGATTGGTCTGATCCAAGTACCCGGAAGGGTCAGAGATTGGCCTGATCCAAGTACCCGGAAGGGTCAGAGATTGGCCTGATCCAAGTACCCGAAGGGGTCAGAGATTGGCCTGATCCAAGTACCCGGAAGGGTCAGAGATTGGCCTGATCCAAGTACCCGGAAGGGTCAGAGATTGGCCTCATCCAAGTACCCGGTAGGGTCAGAGATTGACCTGATCCAAGTACCCGGAAGGGTCAGAGATTGGCCTCATCCAAGTACCCGGAAGGGTCAGAGATTGGCCTCATCCAAGTACCCGGAAGGGTCAGAGATTGGCCTCATCCAAGTACCCGGAAGGGTCAGAGATTGGCCTCATCCAAGTACCCGGAAGGGTCAGAGATTGACCTGATCCAAGTGCCCGGAAGGGTCAGAGATTGGCCTGATCCAAGTACCCGGAAGGGTCAGAGATTGGCCTGATCCAAGTACCCGGAAGGGTCAGAGATTGGCCTGATCCAAGTACCCGGAAGGGTCAGAGATTGGCCTGATCCAAGTACCCGGAAGGGTCAGAGATTGACCTGATCCAAGTGCCCGAAGGGTCAGAGATTGGCCTGATCCAAGTACCCGGAAGGGTCAGAGATTGGCCTGATCCAAGTACCCGGAAGGGTCAGAGATTGGCCTGATCCAAGTACCCGGAAGGGTCAGAGATTGGCCTGATCCAAGTACCCGGAAGGGTCAGAGATTGGCCTGATCCAAGTACCCGGAAGGGTCAGAGATTGGCCTGATCCAAGTACCCGGAAGGGTCAGAGATTGGTGATCCAAGTCTGATCCAAGTACCCGGAAGGGTCAGAGATTGGCCTGATCCAAGTACCCGGAAGGGTCAGAGATGGACTCCAAGTGCAGAGATGGACTCTGCAGGATGGTGCTGGAGATAGTTCAGGGCCTCTGCAGTCAGTGTCCATGTAGGGCTGACTGCATGTGGCCAAAATTTCCTGAGTGGGTGTGGAGGTCTCTGATGGAGGGGTGGGGGGTGGAAGAGATAATGTATATGGGGACCAGGTTCCGGATGGCAGGCTGTCTGCTCCGTGTCTATGTGAGTGTTGTGCCCACAGAGTGATAATGCACCTAGGCCCACAGTGCCAGGCAAGGTCCCAGGTACTCACAAACCTGGGCCGATGGTGCTCATGTGTAGATGGGCAAAGGGAACTGAAAGAGACCAGAGTTTCATGCAGCCTAGAGAAGCGGAGGGATGGTGCTTCCTCCATGCAGAATGGCAGGAAAGAGAACGGAGTGCGTGGAACACCCCACCCAGCTCCAGCAGCGACGTAGTGAGGAACCATGATTGAAGCTGATGAAGAATCCACAGGAAAAAAAAAAAAAAGGAAAAAGCTAAATTTGGAAGATGTATTTTCAGCAGATCAGAGCCGTTCCTCCTACTACACTAGCGAAAAACTGAAAGCAGGGTAACATTCTTCTGCCTGTTGGTGTCCAATTCTCCATCCCACACCAAACCACCTCCCCCACAGACCTGGCACTCCTTTCCCCCCCCAGACAGGGTACTTAGCCACCCAGCCAGCCCTGCCCCAGGCATGGCACTCAGCCCCTCCCCTAGACATGGCACTCACCTATTTCCTGCAACTTGGCCCCGCGTTCCACATCACCAGCCAGGAGCTCGTTGACTTTTGTGACAATCCAGCCGAACATACGAGAGTAGACAACTCTGGCGATGGAGTCTCTGGCGTCTATGTGAGAAGAGAAGGATGAGGTGATGAGTTCCTCTGGATCCACATGTCTGTGATTGGAGGATTACAGGGAGCCATATGTGGATTGGACAGACAACCACCATCCAATCGGTTAATAAGCATCCTTAGAAGTGAAATGACAGGTCCCCTTTAGTGGCCCTGAGAGTCACTGGCCCTCAGAAATGGCTACTAGCACTCTGGCATGGATTTGAAGGAAGACCGAGAGCTGCCCACTGACAACTGCAGCAGCTTTTTGTTGACCCTCTAGAGGGTGTCACTGAGCTAACCCCCACCCAATCAAAAGGTCTGAGGGGCGTGATAAATGATTGTACATTAGTGGGCGCTCTCGTGTCTCGTTACTAATGATATCAATATTTCCGGATGATCACATTATACAGAATGAAATGACGATCTGGTGGACATCAGACACGATATCGGCCTTCTCCATATTCTCCTTCGGAGATGAACTGGGACCAATCCACCTTGTGGACATTACAGCCCCGGCATGTTTGGTCCCCGGATGGTACTTATCGGTTTGGGTGAACCTTTGTTAGGACTGTCATGTTATCCCGTCAGGATTTATGGAATATGAATAGATTCGGGTTGTATGAAAAGGTCAGCTTCAGGTGGAGGAGAGCCAGACTCAAAGTAAAAAAGCCCCACCTCTACCAAGGTATAAAAACTACAGCATGGTGCTCCCTTAATCTATGGGAGCACTTACCCTCAGCCCTACACAGCAATCATCGGTAAGTGCACGTCCACCCGAACCAATGTACAGTGCAATGCAAACCTATGGGAGTATCGGCACTCTACCCTATAGAGCAAGGACTGGATGGGTGAGGAAGTCATGTCCTACAAAGATACCCAACTACAGCGTGGTGCCCCCCTAATCTATGGGAGCACTTACCCTCAGCCATACACAGCAATCATCGGGTAAGTGCACGTCCACCTGAACCAATGTACAGTGCAATGCAAACCTATGGGAGTATCGGCACTCTACCCTATAGAGCAAGGGCCGGGTGGGTGAGGATGTCCTACAAAGATACCCAACTACAGCGTGGTGCTCCCCTAATCTATGGGAGCACTTACCCTCAGCCATACACAGCAATCATCGGGTAAGTGCACGTCCACCTGAACCAATGTACAGTGCAATGCAAACCTATGGGAGTATCGGCACTCTACAGAGCAAGGACTGGATGGGTGAGGAAGTCCTACAGAGATACCCAACTACAGCGTGGTGCTCCCCTAATCTATGGGAGCACTTACCTCAGCCATACACAGCAATCATCGGGTAAGTGCACGTCCACCTGAACCAATGTACAGTGCAATGCAAACCTATGGGAGTATCGGCACTCTACAGAGCAAGGACTGGATGGGTGAGGAAGTCCTACAAAGATACCCAACTACAGCGTGGTGCTCCCCTAATCTATGGGAGCACTTACCAGATGATTGCTGTGTATGGCTGAGGGTAAGTGCTCCCATAGATTAGGGGAGCACTGCGCTGTAGTTGGGTATCTTTGTAGGACATCCTCACCCACCCGGCCCTTGCTCTGTAGAGTGCCGATACCCCCATAGGTTTGCATTGCACTGTACATTTTTTCGGGTGGACGTGCACTTACCTGATGATTGCTGTGTATGGCTGAGGGTAAGTGCTCCCATAGATTAGGGGAGCACCACGCTGTAGTTTGGTATCTTTGTAGGACATGACTTCCTCACCCACCGGCCCTTGCTCTGTAGGGTAGAGTGCCGATACTCCCATAGGTTTGCATTGCACTGTACATTGGTTCGGGTGGACGTGCACTTACCCGATGATTGCTGTGTATGGCTGAGGGTAAGTGCACGTCCACCCGAACCAATGTACAGTGCAATGCAAACCTATGGGAGTATCGGCACTCTACCCTATAGAGCAAGGGGCCGGGTGGGTGAGGATGTCCTACAAAGATACCCAACTACAGCGTGGTGCTCCCCTAATCTATGGAAGTACCCATAATGGGGCAAAGCTAAGAACACGCTTACCTGGAGGTGGTGCTCCCCACAGACAGGACCTAACCCTTGGACATTAGTGACACCCCTACAATGAGTGCCCCCCACCCCCCCATACACATTTTCCCCTGCCTGCTATAATCCAGCAGAGCTCCTTTTCCACAATGACATTGTCTCCCCGTATCCCAGGGTGCCTCACACTTATTGGTCAGACCAGTGGGAATGTCTAAAAAATATGCTACCCCCCCCCAGCTGACACTTCTTACCCTCCGCCTGCTGCTGGGTGTGTAACCTCCGGATCGTCTCCCCCCGCATCACAGAGATGGTACAGACCAAACAGTTGTGGAGGTCCTCTTCCTGCACCCCAAACTGGCCCTGAAAAACCAGAAAATGCAGCATTAGCCGGAAGGGTCTGCAGATACACCCCCTGTACCACCATACAACCCCCCACCCCCCCCCCCCCCGCTCATATCACTCTCTGTACCCCCAAATCTAATCTCGATTCTTCTCTGTACCACCACAACCCCCCACACGTTACACCTCCTCCATACCCTCCCCCACCCCTCATATCACACTCTCTGTACCCCCAACCCACTTATCAATTCTTCTCTGTACCCTCCACCCCCAAGAAAAAACACCCTCTGTACCCCCCAAACCTCACGTCAATTCTTCTCTGTACGCTCCACCCCACATATCACACTCCTCTGTACCCCCCAAAGTACACTCCCTCTGTATCCCCCAACCCATGTATCAATTCTCCTCTGTACCCCCACCCCTCACATTGTATCACTCCATCCCCCCCAAACCTCAATTCTCCTCTGTATCCTCTACCCACCCCCACATTACATGCCATCTGTGCACCCCTCCCCACACATCACATTCCCCTCTATACCACCCAACCTCCATATCCATTCTCCTTCCCCCCCACCCCGTATATATTACACCCCTACCCCCCCCCCCCCGGTGTATTATACATTGCACTGGATCTCCCCAACATTCGTGAAGTGCTTACCGCAGCAGCTTTCAGCCACCCGCAGGCCTCGCCATCCACGGTGACCCCACCAGTGTCCTGTGCAACAAACAGGATGTTCCCCAGAGACAGGACCCCAGAAAGGATGGTCTTCAGGTCTAGCTCCTCCTGTGGGAGGGACAGAGGATGACATCAGAATGATGCTGCATGGGGGAAGGCGGAGTTCATATGACATATGGATGATTATGGGTGGAGCTATCCGGGCGCATTAAATAGCGGACAGTTCTGAAGGCAGCTCACTCCCGATCATCCAGAGCCACGCCGCTGTCACGTCATCCAACCACATATCAGGGACCCCGATGAGGAAATCTCTGGGGGGAATGGTTACCAACCTGAGTCTGGAAGCCGACCATACGCATGGCATTGCACAGTGTGTGGTAGCGGTCTGCCCAGTCCCCCGAACACGACTCCTCGTGGCCCTGACCGATGTATCTACAATGAGAAGAGGAATTCATTCCGGCACAGAGTCTGGGGGCCTCATACGATCCACACTGCGGGGGGGGGGGGGGCAGGGCTCACACTGCAGGGGGGGGGGGGGGCAGGGCTCACACTGCAGGGGGGGCGGGGCAGGGCTCACACTGCAGGGGGGCGGGGCAGGGCTCACACTGCAGGGGGCGGGGCAGGGCTCACACTGCGGGGGGGCAGGGCTCACACTGCGGGGAGGGGGGGGGGGCAGGGCTCACATGCTTGTAGTCCATCTGTAGACCCAACCACCAGGTCACATCCAGGATGGAAGGACTCATTGCTGGGAAGATCCCTCACCTCTGCTGTCTGGATGACGGGGTAATGGCGGGAGGCCTTCAGCACCTTTCAGTCCACATACAGAGGACATACAGCCAAAAAAACATATCGACTCACAAACTGCGCTGTGCTGCCGCCCGTAACTAAATCACTGAAATTTGCCAATTCTCAGAAATAAAAAGTGAAAAAAAACCGCATAAAAAAATCAAACAAATGTGGAAATATACAACATGCATTAATGTCCATCGAAATCTCCAAGGTGCTCCTTCTACACCGTGAGATTCCAGTCCCACTGCTGGTATTCCCTTGTTGGGTACTGAGCACACAATCCCGGTGCTGCAATTCACACTCTTCCTAATCCACACATCCTGGCATAGTGGCAATGCTCACGGAGATGACCACTTCATTCAATGCCGGTAACATCATCCTCAGTCCAAACATTTGTAACCCTTGAAGGGGGAGGGGGCACCTCTGACATCTCTAATGGAATTTCCAGAGGAGTGCAGAGATTTTTGAGTAGAAAGCCATTTGCCAGCATGCGGGTCTCACAGAAGAGATGTCTCACCGGACATCTCACAGACCTGCATGCAAACTTTCGAGGGAAACATTTACATCAGCAGAGGCTGAAATATTCCCCTGGTAAAGCATAGAAAATGTATGAACTGAGAACTAGTCCTACAGACCTGAGGAACAGAGTTCTGACACCAAAACACCCAAGACGTTTTCACCACCCTAGTGGAGTCTTACCAGGAACACAAGGAACCTCAAAAAGCTGACTAAAGGTTTGAGGAACCATTCCAGGGCCCATCTGTAAGAGAAAACAAGAAATCATAATTCCAAACAAATAGACAAGATTAGGCAATGGTGAAAAATGTCCCTTGGGTTGGACTGGTGCCGGATACGAGGAGGACAACCCAGTGTCCTCATTTAGATGAAGGACAGAGGCCACCTTGGGCAAAAATGAAAGAACTAAGCTTCAAAACAACCTTTTGTGGGAGAACCCAAAAGGGCTTACAGGACATTGCAACCAATTCCAATCTCCTTAGCCAAAGGAAAGCCAGCTTGTGAGACAGGGAAGACAAGGAAAGCAGCTGAGCTCAATCCCTCTGTCCAATTACGAGAGTGATTTGTCCTTTAAGGAAAAGATGCTGGTCAATTTGTGAAACTGACGAAAAAGGAACTGCCTAAAATGAAGAGACCATCAGTGCCAGAATTCTTACAGAGCACCGAGACTGAATGGACTTAGTAAGTGGAGCTGTCGGACATGAGCTTGGACAGCATCTCCTGAAGCATAAAAGACTCTTGCCAGGAAGGTCTTCAGAATGAGGGCCCAATATTCCAAGTGTCAAAATCAGAAAGGACTTCAGATTCAGGATCCATCTGAGCTCCTCCAGTGTTCACAGTGTAATGAATCTCCAAGTCCAGTGACCAAGACAGAAGGTTGTCCAGGGAATTGATGATGGAAATACCTCTATTACCAGGCCGACCACAAAGAGCAAAGATGACACTGATGTCAGGGACAAATACTGATGTAAAAGATACGAATCCCTCATATCTATCAAGGTAAAGGAAGGCCAAGACCAAATGTGCAGATTCCATCCTGAATGTACTGGACACAATCATTCAAGGCTTTTAAGTCCAAAAATGGATTGAATACCCTCTCTTATTGGAGTCCAATGAAAACTACGGAGTAAAAATCCCAAAACCTTTCCGAACTTGACACCCAATCCCCGTAGTGCTCAATAGGTTCTGCAAAATGTTGTAGAAACGCCAGAAGGTCTGAAGTGGAGGCAGGAGACAAAATTCCATTTTTTTTTGTCCTTAAGAAACCACCTCCAGAATCCAGACAGCAGAGATGCAAAACCTCCAAAGGGCTGCAACAGACGTCCTCCACCTTGGAGGAAAAAGACATGGCAAAACCATTCCACAGAAGTAGCCAACCAAGGCTTGAGGATGCAGAGGAAGAAGAAACCTCAGAGAAGGGAATTGGATCCGGAAAAGAGAACCACTTTGAGGAAGCAGATTTGAGCCCGATCCTTACCCTTCCACACCTGAGGGAGATGCATCTTCTTGGCGCATGGAGACAATATTTATACGTTTGTAGCATGAAGTACAGAAAAGACAGTTTTCTACAAAGGGCAAGCATAGCAGGGACTTTTCAGAGGTCTGTCCATGGGCCAGCAATGAAGCCAGATTACCCTCTACATATGTACTGATAAGAGGCTGATGCGAGATGTCGAGTGGCTAGAATCCAAAGCTGTGGGCACATGAAACCAGTAATAACATAGAAGCCACCAGGGAATACACCAAGCATGAGAGGGATCCCAATCTCTCATCCATGGGACCCGGAGAAGAGGGAGCATCCTTCAAAAGGACAGACTTGTTAAGGACCAGCACCAGAGGGGCCACTGCCAGAAGTGTAGTCTGTGTACTTGGAGGGAGACACCAGCCACTTAAATTTCTTCATGATGGAGGAAGACACCTCCATAGCGAGACAAAAGGATGAGGACAACCCCGAAGGTTCAGAAATAGAAGCAGGGACAGATAATTTAGCCAAGAGTCCCAACAAGGACTGTCCCTTTCCCAGTCAATGTGTGTGCTGAGAACCAGTCCTATAGGAGGACTTCATTCTGGAGTCATCTGACAAATGAGGCCGTCCCCCCCCCTCCACCACATTCCTGGAGGGAACCTACGCATCCAAAATGGCCACACAAGAGAGATCATCCTGGACTCCTCATCCCTCTTCCTCGCTCAGTGTGACATCACAGCCCGTTCATTCATTCCTCATCAAGCTATGGCAGCTGACACCCCCTGGCCCCCAAGGTAAATACGGCGAAGGGATCCCCAAACACAACAATCACTACACACAGCCTAGTCACGGCCAGGTGACGGGGTCATTCTTCAGAGACGGGGTCATGCCGGCACTACCATGGCTCTGGACTTGGAAAGGATCCTGCAGAGATCCTCAAGGATGGGGGGGTAAAATCTGGTCCCCCGGGGTACTTCCAGAGACACCTCAGGCCTGTCCCAGAGAACTCTCCATGTATTAGGACTGGGATAGCCTGTGCTCCCAGGATGATGGAGAGATTCCAGGACCTGGAACATCCGACCTACAGGAGCAGCTGACCGGAGAAAACCTCAGAGTCCTGAAAACAAAGACGTCCATCCTTCCAAGGACACCGAGCTGAACTAAGCATGGCCAAGGTGGGAGGGGTTAGGTCCGGCCTGCAGTTTGCGTCTAGTGTCCAGTCCTCCCGTAGGTGGCAGTATAACCCATTGAATTCCTATTATGAATCCCTGTGTCCTTCAAAGAACGACAGAAAAACATAAAAACGTTTCATGACTAATTTTTAAAGTGGCTGTAGACCCTCACATATCCCAGTGATGGGAGTGGCCTCAGGTGATACACAGAGATGAGACAAATCCTCCTACATAAGTTGTACCTGTTTATCTGTGGCCTTCTCTTCTCTACAGCCATTTAAAGTGCAGAATTTATACAGCTTGTCAGAGAGTTCAGAAAAAAGGGGGCGGGGAGCTGAAGTTACAATCTGCAGAGCTCACTGAGGAAAGCTGACAACGGACTGGAGGGAAGGGAAACCCCCCTCCACACAGGAACAAGAGCTGAGGCTGTCAATCACAGGCTGTGTGTTGGAGATCCTCCCACTGTCAGAAAACGTCATCAGGAGTGACTCATGCAGATAGCAGAGGAAGGATGCAGCAGACAGAAATGACACTCAGTGCTCTGACTGAGACAAGGATACCCTATAGAGGGATGTGCTTTGTTCAGCTTTCATGTCTGAGGGTTACACCCACTTTAAGGCAAAAATAAAATCCAGAATCAGATTTCACCGCTAGATGGCGCTATTCCTATGAAATGATCTTTCCAGCCCTTACAGAAACTAAATATTGCTGTGCCTGTACCAACCCCCACCCAGCACAAGACATACAAGGGGCACCCACCTGCTCACCTACCTGTACATGGAGGGCTGTAGAAGGCCGTACACTTCCCGCTCCTCCAGCCGGACAACCAAACAGCATGTAGTAGAAGACGTGGAAGTTGCGTTCACCAGAGTCTTGGTGAGACACCCGTGATTTCTCCAGGAGATACTCATTAATCTTCGCTCCCTTCACTGCAACAGAGAGACCAATAAGCCACAATGAAGAGCGACCAAAGAGAACACCAGAAATAGCCAGCAAAGAGGACCTGTACAATGTATTCTTCACCTCAAGAAGAACCTGTACCTCTACAATGTGTACCTAACCTCAAGGAGGACCTGTACCTCTAGAATGCGTTCTTCACCTCAAGAAGGACCTGTACCTCCACAATATGTTCCTTACCTCAAGGAGGACCTGTTCCTCTACAACATGTTCCTCACCTCAAAGAGGACCTGTACCTCTACATGTTCCTCACCTCAAAGAGGACCTGTACCTCTACAACGTGTTCCTCACCTGAAGAAGGACCTGTACCTCTACAATGTATTCTTCACCTCAAGAAGAACCTGTACCTCTACAATGTGTACCTAACTTCAAGGAGGACCTGTACTTCTAGAATGCGTTCGTCACCTCAAGAGGACCTGTACCTCTACAACGTGTTCCTCACCTCAAGAAGGACCTGTTCTTCTACAATGTGTTCCTCACCTCAAGAAGGACCTGTTCTTCTACAATGTGTTCCTCACCTCAAAGAGGACCTGTACCTCTACAACGTGTTCCTCAACTCAAGTAGGACCTGTACCTCTACAATACAGTCAGGTCCATAAATATTGGGACATCGACACAATTCTAACATTTTTGGCTCTATACACCACAATGGATTTGAAATGAAATGAACAAGATGTGCTTTGAGGGTGTTTACATCCAAATCAGGTGAACGGTGTAGGAATTACAACAGTTTGCATAGGTGCCTCCCACTTGTTAGGGACCAAAAGTAATGGACAATTGGCTTCTCAGCTGTTCCATGGCCAGGTGTGTGTTATTCCCTCATTATCCCAATTACAATGAGCAGCTAAAAGGTCCAGAGTTCATTCCAAGTGTGCTATTTGCATTTGGAATCTGTTGCTGTCAATTCTCAAGATGAGATCCAAAGAGCTGTCACTATCAGTGAAGCCATCATTAGGCTGAAAAAACAAAACAAACCCATCAGAGAGATAGCAAAAACATGAGGCGTGGCCAAAACAACTGTTTGGAACAATCTTAAAAAGAAGGAACGCACCGGTGAGCTCAGCAACACCAAAAGACCCGGAAGACCACGGAAAACAACTGTGGTGGATGAGCGAAGAATTCTTTCCCTGGTGAAGAAAACACCCTTCACAACAGTTGGCCAGATCAAGAACACTCTCCAGGAGGTAGGTGTATGTGTGTCAAAGTCACCAATCAGAGAAGACTTCACCAGAGTGAATACAGAGGGTTCACCACAAGATGGAAACCATTGGTGAGCCTCAAAAACAGGAAGGCCAGATTAGAGTTTGCCAAACGACATGTAAAAAAGCCTTCACAGTTCTGGAACAACATCCTATGGACAGAGAGACCGACATCAACTTGTACCAGAGTGATGGGAAGAGAAGAGTATGGAGAAGGAACTGCTCATGGTCCTCAGCATACCACCTCATCAGTGATCATGGTGGTGGTAGTGTCATGGCGGGGGCATGTATGGCTGCCAATGGAACTGCTTCTCTTGTATTTATTGATGATGTGACTGCTGACAGAAGCAGCCGGATGAATTGTGAAGTGTTTCGGGAATATTATCGGCTCATATTCAGCCAAATGCTTCACAACTCATTGGACGCTTCACAGTGCAGATGGACAATGACCCAAAGCAGACTGCAAAAGACACCAAAGAAGTGGAATGTTCTGCAATGGCCAATCACCTGACCTGAATCTGATTGAGCATTTCACTTGCTGAAGACAAAACTGAAGGGAAAATGCCCCAAGAACAAGCAGGAACTGAAGACAGTTGCAGTAGAGGCCTGGCAGAGCCTCACCAGGGATGACACCCAGCGTCTGGTGATGTCTATGCGTTCCACACTTCAGGCTGTCATTGACTGCAAAGGATTTGTAACCAAGTATTAAAAAGTGAAAGTGTGATTTATGATTATTATTCTGTCCCATTACTTTTGGTCCCTTAACAAGTGGGAGGCACATGTGCAAACTGTTGTCATTCCTACACCGTTCACCTGATTTGGAAATTAAAGCTGACAGTCTGCAGTTAAAGCACATCTTGTTCATTTCATTTCATATCCATTGTGGTGTATAGAGCCAAAAATGTTACAATTGTGTCCATGTCCCAATATTTATGGACCTGACTGTATGTTCATCTCAAGAAGAACCTGTACCTCTATAATTTGTTGTTCTTCACTTCCAGGGACCTGTTCCTCTACAATATGTTCCTCAACTCAAAGAGGTCCTTTATCTCTACAATGTGTTCCTCACCTCAAGAAGGACCTGTACCTCTACAATGAGTTCCTCACCTCAGGAAGGACCTGTACCTCTACAATGAGTTCCTCACCTCAGGAAGGACCTGTACTTCTACAATGTGTTCATCTCCTTAAAGAGGACCTGTACCTTTATTGAGGGGGGCAGGGATTGTGTGATTCAAGGAGCAACCGTGGAGGGGCTGTCTGTCTAGAATTATCCACTCCAAGGCTGAATGAAAGGGGATAAGGATCTTTCCAATCTAAAGAGGAGTGAAGGGGGGGGGGGGGGGGGAATTATCCACTCCAAGGATGAAGGGTGTGGTAACTGTCTGATTTAGGGACAAATGGTGGAGGACTCTCTGATCGAAGGATGAAATATGGAGGTGAGGACAACACCGGGACATTCATCCTCCCGCTGACCTCCAACGCCGGGACATTCATCCTCCCACGCTGACCTCCAACGCCGGGACATTCATCCCCCCGCTCACCTCCAACGCCGGGACATTCATCCCCCCGCTCATTTACCTCCAACGCCGGGACATTCATCCTCCCGCTCACCTCCAACGCCGGGACATTCATCCTCCCGCTCACCTCCAACGCCGGGACATTCATCCTCCCCTCACCTGACTCCAACGCCGGGACATTCATCCTCCCGCTCACCTCCAACGCCGGGGACATTCATCCTCCCGCTCACCTCCAACGCCGGGACATTCATCCTCCCGCTCACCTCCAACGCCGGGACCTTCATTCATCCTCCCGCTCACCTCCAACGCCGGGACATTCATCCTCCCGCTCACCTCCAACGCAGGGACATTCATCCTCCCGCTGACCTCCAACGCCGGGACATTCATCCTCCCGCTGACCTCCAACGCCGGGACATTCATCCTCCCGCTGACCTCCAACGCCGGGACATTCATCCTCCCGCTGACCTCCAACGCCGGGACATTCATCCTCCCGCTGACCTCCAACGCCGGGACATTCATCCTCCCGCTGACCTCCAACGCCGGGACATTCATCCTCCCGCTGACCTCCAACGCCGGGACATTCATCCTCCCGCTGACCTCCAACGCCGGGACATTCATCCTCCCGCTGACCTCCAACGCCGGGACATTCATCCTCCCGCTGACCTCCAACGCCGGGACATTCATCCTCCCGCTGACCTCCAACGCCGGGACATTCATCCTCCCGCTGACCTCCAACGCCGGGACATTCATCCTCCCGCTGACCTCCAACGCCGGGACATTCATCCTCCCGCTGACCTCCAACGCCGGGACATTCATCCCCCCGCTGACCTCCAACGCCGGGACATTCATCCCCCCGCTGACCTCCAACTCCGGGACATTCATCCCTCCGCTGACCTCCAACACCGGGACATTTATCCCCCCGCTGACCTCCAACACCGGGACATTTATCCCCCCGCTGACCTCCAACACCGGGACATTTATCCCCCCACTGACCTCCAACACCGGGACATTTATCCCCCCACTGACCTCCAACACCGGGACATTTATCCCCCCACTGACCTCCAGCTCCGGGACATTTATCCCCCCACTGACCTCCAGCTCCGGGACATTTATCCCCCCACTGACCTCCAGCTCCGGGACATTCATCCTCCCTCTGACATCAGACACTGTGAGATTCTTCCACCCACCAACAGATTCTCATGCCCACTGACCAACATGTTCTTCCTCCCACTGACCACCATCACTGGAGTATCTGAAAAGTTCCAGAAATGTAGCCAACAGCTGTGTACCTGAATGACAGGCAGGATGTATGACATCACAGTTCTTGACTCCTCCCACCTTAATATCCAGCCCCTCCTCCGAGGTGCCGTTCTCTGGAAGGCAGAGATACATCTTACCATTTCCCTGGCTGAACCGCAACTGGATGTATTTTCCAAACCGACTGCTGTTCTGGTTCATCACCGTCTGTGCGTTTCCAAACGCCTCCAACAACGGATTCACCTGCAGAACACCGACAAAGGAAACGGGAGGAATGATGGAAGATCTCTGGGGGCATCAAATAATTCCGATCACCCAAGTAGGTCCAAGAGAAATATATTCCTCCTAGAGGACGGAGGACATGGAGGAATTCTGGTGGACGTATCTGGGAGGAGGACATGGAGGAATTCTGGTGGCCGTATCTGGGAGGAGGACATGGAGGAATTCTGGTGGCCGTATCTGGGAGGAGGACATGGAGGAATTCTGGTGGCCGTATCTGGGAGGAGGACATGGAGGAATTCTGGTGGCCGTATCTGGGAGGAGGACATGGAGGAATTCTGGTGGCCGTATCTGGGAGGAGGACATGGAGGAATTCTGGTGGCCGTATCTGGGAGGAGGACATGGAGGAATTCTGGTGGATGTATCTGGGAGGAGGACATGGAGTAATTCTGGTGGCCGTATCTGGGAGGAGGACATGGAGGAATTCTGGTGGCCGTATCTGGGAGGAGGACATGGAGGAATTCTGGTGGCCGTATCTGGGAGGAGGACATGGAGTAATTCTGGTGGCCGTATCTGGGAGGAGGACATGGAGTAATTCTGGTGGCCGTATCTGGGAGGAGGACATGGAGTAATTCTGGTGGCCGTATCTGGGAGGAGGACATGGAGGAATTCTGGTGGCCGTATCTGGGAGGAGGACATGGAGGAATTCTGGTGGCCGTATCTGGGAGGAGGACATGGAGGAATTCTGGTGGCCGTATCTGGGAGGAGGACATGGAGGAATTCTGGTGGCCGTATCTGGGAGGAGGACATGGAGGAATTCTGGTGGCCATATCTGGGAGGAGGACATGGAGGAATTCTGGTGGCCGTATCTGGGAGGAGGACATGGAGGAATTCTGGTGGATGTATCTGGGAGGAGGACATGGAGTAATTCTGGTGGCCGTATCTGGGAGGAGGACATGGAGTAATTCTGGTGGCCGTATCTGGGAGGAGGACATGGAGTAATTCTGGTGGCCGTATCTGGGAGGAGGACATGGAGGAATTCTGGTGGACGTATCTGGGAGGAGGACATGGAGGAATTCTGGTGGCCGTATCTGGGAGGAGGACATGGAGGAATTCTGGTGGACGTATCTGGGAGGAGGACATGGAGGAATTCTGGTGGACGTATCTGGGAGGAGGACATGGAGGAATTCTGGTGGACGTATCTGGGAGGAGGACATGGAGGAATTCTGGTGGCCGTATCTGGGAGGAGGACATGGAGGAATTCTGGTGGCCGTATCTGGGAGGAGGACATGGAGGAATTCTGGTGGACGTATCTGGGAGGAGGACATGGAGGAATTCTGGTGGACGTATCTGGGAGGAGGACATGGAGGAATTCTGGTGGACGTATCTGGGAGGAGGACATGGAGGAATTCTGGTGGCCGTATCTGGGAGGAGGACATGGAGGAATTCTGGTGGCCGTATCTGGGAGGAGGACATGGAGGAATTCTGGTGGCCGTATCTGGGAGGAGGACATGGAGTAATTCTGGTGGATGTATCTGGGAGGAGGACATGGAGGAATTCTGGTGGACGTATCTGGGAGGAGGACATGGAGGAATTCTGGTGGACGTATCTGGGAGGAGGACATGGAGGAATTCTGGTGGACGTATCTGGGAGGAGGACATGGAGGAATTCTGGTGGACGTATCTGGGAGGAGGACATGGAGGAATTCTGGTGGACGTATCTGGGAGGAGGACATGGAGTAATTCTGGTAGCAGTATCTGGGAGGAGGACATGGAGGAATTCTGGTGGCCGTATCTGGGAGGAGGACATGGAGGAATTCTGGTGGATGTATCTGGGAGGGGTAAGTTCTAGGAGCTGTAATCACCCAGGAATTCCGGAAACCCATCCGAAGGAATACGGATTAATTCCATCCAGACCACAGAATCATGAATTCCATCTCACAACTGATGGTGGCACTCTAGATCAACAGTGATAACACATCCTGTACCCTGGGCTCCTCCATTAACGTACGGACCTTCATATTAAACCAGTGAGACCCCGTCATCCACCACCCCCCCCCCCCCACCCATCCCCCTCCCAACTGTCGACAGGTTTAGCTCCATTTGCCACGTGGCACCACATTCACTGTAATGAGCCACAAATACTGGAAAGGTGTTTCCAGTCCTTAGAGGTGTATCTTCTGGACAAGGACCACCCGTGTCTCCCTCCTTCCCGATGGCTACCACTCATCATATGTACACCCCTCACCCACCCCCTGTATTAAACATCCAATTATCCTTCACAAAAACACCCCAATCAGAGTCCACCTTCCATCCACAGACCATAAAAGGGCACCTCCGCCCTCCCCCGACAGAACAGGTCATACACAGCGCCTGGTGCGGTCTCCTCCTGTATGGTCAGCGGTGGTGTCCTGGGATCTGTGTTCGGAGAGGGAAGGAGGAGTCTAACAGAAATACCCCAGTGCAGTCGGGGTCGGTTCCGGTACATACAGTCCATGGATCCCTCATGGTACCTGTAGGATCTGCTGGCACAGTTGGCTGTTTCCTCGGCTCCGCCTCACCAGGTGACGTAGGAGGAGTTTGGTGCTCTCCGTCTTTCCCGCTCCGCTGTCACCACTGAAAACACAAAGAAATGCCATTCATAGAAACCTGATTGGCTGAGTCAGGACTGGGCGGGGTTGTCCCATGGAAGGAGGATCCTGTCCCCCTTGGGGAGTCAATTTGTGTTTGGCTAAGAGGGAGGGGAGGGGGAGGTATTGGGTAACGCCCTGGAGGGGGGGAGTGGTATTTGGGGATGCCTCTTCCAGGGGGTAATGCTCAGTGACGCCACCTCTGGAGGGAGAGGGGGGTAGTATTCGGGGGGCCGCCTCTGGGGGGTAATGCTCAGTGATGCCATCTCTGTAGGGGGTAGTATTCGGGGAGGGGGGGGGTTAGTGTTCAGTGGGGGGGGGGGGGGAGTTAGTGTTCAGTGAGGGGGGGGGGGGAAGTTAGTGTTCAGTGAGGGGGGGGGGGGGGAAGTTAGTGTTCAGTGAGGTGGGGGGGGGGGGAGTTAGTGTTCAGTGAGGGGGGGGGAGTTAGTGTTCAGTGAGGGGGGGGGAGTTAGTGTTCAGTGAGGGGGGGGGGGGAGTTAGTGTTCAGTGAGGGGGGGGGGGGAGTTAGTGTTCAGTGAGGGGGGGGGGGTTAGTGTTCAGTGAGGGGGGGGGGGGAGTTAGTGTTCAGTGAGGGGGGGGGGGAGTTAGTGTTCAGTGAGGGGGGGGGGAGTTAGTGTTCAGTGAGGGGGGGGGGAGTTAGTGTTCAGTGAGGGGGGGGGGAGTTAGTGTTCAGTGAGGGGGGGGGGAGTTAGTGTTCAGTGAGGGGGGGGGGGAGTTAGTGTTCAGTGAGGGGGGGGGGAGTTAGTGTTCAGTGAGGGGGGGGGGGAGTTAGTGTTCAGTGAGGGGGGGGGGGAGTTTAGTGTTCAGTGAGGGGGGGGGGGAGTTAGTGTTCAGTGAGGGGGGGGGGGGGGAGTTAGTGTTCAGTGAGGGGGGGGGGGAGTTAGTGTTCAGTGAGGGGGGGGGGGGTTAGTGTTCAGTGAGGGGGGGGGGGAGTTAGTGTTCAGTGAGGGGGGGGGAGTTAGTGTTCAGTGAGGGGGGGGGGAGTTAGTGTTCAGTGAGGGGGGGGGGGGGAGTTAGTGTTCAGTGAGGGGGGGGGGAGTTAGTGTTCAGTGAGGGGGGGGGGAGTTAGTGTTCAGTGAGGGGGGGGGGAGTTAGTGTTCAGTGAGGGGGGGGGGGGAGTTAGTGTTCAGTGAGGGGGGGGGGAGTTAGTGTTCAGTGAGGGGGGGGGGGGGAGTTAGTGTTCAGTGAGGGGGGGGGGGGGGGTTAGTGTTCAGTGAAGGGGGGGGGGGTTAGTGTTCAGTGAAGGGGGGGGGGTTAGTGTTCAGTGAAGGGGGGGGGGTTAGTGTTCAGTGAAGGGGGGGGGGTTAGTGTTCAGTGAAGGGGGGGGGGGGTTAGTGTTCAGTGAGGGGGGGGGGTCAGTGTTCAGTGAGGGGGGGGGGGGGGTTAGTGTTCAGTGAAGGGGGGGGGTTAGTGTTCAGTGAGGGGGGGGGGGTTGTGGTATTCGGTGTCATCTCTCACATTACATACAGAATAAAAGGGAACTCCGCTCACCTGATCACGATGGTCTGATTCCCGGAGGAGTTTGTCGGATTTCCTTGCAGGTTGCGGTACGTGCGATCGGCCACGGCGAATATGTGCGGGGGAAGAGATCTGATTGGCTGAGAGCTGTACTTATCAGATACCTGCAGGGAAGACAGAAACTTGTGTTAAAGGGGAACTCCGGACAGACAAAAGAAAGACCTCACATGTAGTTATACAGACTGTACAACAAAATCCCCTCGGGGGATGGGCAGCACTGGGAGGGGGAGGGCTTAGCAGTGTGATGTCACCTGCAGACCAATTAGAAAGCTGGAGGATCTCCACCATGAGGGTGACAACAGGGAGGCACACAGAGCGTGGTCACACTACAACAGGAAGTGGCGGGATAAGGACCTCCATGGCGGGATCACCGGGAATCATATCGATGGATCTGCAGATTGAAGAAGATTCAAAGAAAAAACACCCCAGAAGTCAGATCCGGGACCTCTATGGTCAGGGGGGCGGAACCAAGAGGGCGGCGAATCAGCACACCACCTGTAGACTCCACCCCCTCATACTGCTAACCCCTAGACTCAGAGCCCCCCCCCCTCACTGACCACCCCTGACGGGAGTGACTTTGGGTGGGGGGGCCCATGGAACACGGCTCACTTTGGGTGGGGGGGGCCCATGGAGCACGGCTCACTTTGGGTGGGGGGCCCATGGAGCACGGCTCACTTTGGGTGGGGGGGCCCATGGAGCACGGCTCACTTTGGGTGGGGGGGGGCCCATGGAGCACGGCTCACTTTGGGTGGGGGGGCCCATGGAGCACGGCTCACTTTGGGTGGGGGGGGCCCATGGAGCACGGCTCACTTTGGGTGGGGGGGCCCATGGAGCACGGCTCACTTTGGGTGGGGGGGCCCATGGAGCACGGCTCACTTTGGGTGGGGGGGGGGCCATGGAGCATGGCTCACTTTGGGTGGGGGGGCCCATGGAGCACGGCTCACTTTGGGTGGGGGGGGCCATGGAGCACGGCTCACTTTGGGTGGGGGGGCCCATGGAGCACGGCTCACTTTGGGTGGGGGGGCCCATGGAACATGGCTCACTTTGGGTGGGGGGGCCCATGGAACACGGCTCACTTTGGGTGGGGGGGGCCATGGAACACGGCTCACTTTGGGTGGGGGGGGCCATGGAACACAGCTCACTATGGGTGGGGGGCCCATGGAACACAGCTCACTATGGGTGGGGGGGCCCATGGAACACAGCTCACTTTGGGTGGGGGGGGGCCCATGGAACACAGCTCACTTTGGGTGGGGGGCCCATGGAACACAGCTCACTTTGGGTGGGGGGCCCATGGAACACAGCTCACTTTGGGTGGGGGGCCCATGGAACACAGCTCACTATGGGTGGGGGGGCCCATGGAACACAGCTCACTATGGGTGGGGGGGCCCATGGAACACAGTCCCCTTTGGAGAGGTGGGGAGACCCCTGTCTTAGCTCCCCATATCCCTATTATGTGTAAGTCACCCTGTGCCTGTTAGGGGTACAGGGGGATCTGTCCTAATATAGGTGGGGGGGGGTTGTGGATTGTTTGGTGTCATGTGGTTGCATCTCATTGTTCTATTGTGTGTCTGGCTTGGGAGCAAACTATTATGGGATGTATGTGTTTGTGTATTGGCTTGGTGGGGGGGGGGGGGGGGGGGGGGGTGTCTCCAGCAGCCCTCCCTCCTGATGGGACTGTCTGCTGGTGTGTCTTGTTACTAAATGTAGATTGCCCCGCCCTGACCCATTATGTAGGGAGGAGGGATTGCCCTGCCCCGTGTCATTGTGCAGGGAGGGGGGATTGCCCCGCCCCGTGTCATTGTGCAGGGAGGGGGGATTGCCCCGCCCCGTGTCATTGTGCAGGGAGGGGGGATTGTCCCCCGAGTGTATATATCTTGTATCTGGGTTCACATAAACTATTCTACTTCCTGGTTTACTTCAAGATTGGTGTTGGTGGTGGGGTGTGTGTCAGCGGTGGTGTCGGTGGTCGGTGTTCCTAAAGGAAGTACCCCAGTGCAGACTGGGTCGGTTCCGTTACACCTAGACTCAGCACCCCTCCCCCTCACTGACCACCCCTAGACTCAGCGCCCCTCCCCCTCACTGACCACCCCTAGACTCAGCGCCCCTCCCCCTCACTGACCACCCCTAGACTCAGCGCCCCTCCCCCTCACTGACCACTCCTAGACTCAGCGCCCTCCCCCTCACTGACCACCCCTAGACTCAGCGCCCCTCCCCCTCACTGACCACCCCTAGACTCAGCGCCCCTCCCCCTCACTGACCACCCCTAGACTCAGCGCCCCTCCCCCTCACTGACCACCCCTAGACTCAGCGCCCTCCCCCTCACTGACCACTCCTAGACTCAGCGCCCCTCCCCCTCACTGACCACTCCTAGACTCAGCGCCCCTCCCCCTCACTGACCACCCCTAGACTCAGCGCCCCTCCCCCTCAGTGACCATCCCTAGACTCAGCGCCCCTCCCCCTCACTGACCACCCCTAGACTCAGCGCCCCTCCCCCTCACTGACCACTCCTAGACTCAGCGCCCCTCCCCCTCACTGACCACTCCTAGACTCAGCGCCCCTCCCCCTCACTGACCACCCCTAGACTCAGCGCCCCTCCCCCTCACTGACCACCCCTAGACTCAGCGCCCCTCCCCCTCACTGACCACCCCTAGACTCAGCGCCCCTCCCCCCTCACTGACCACCCCTAGACTCAGCGCCCCTCCCCCTCACTGACCACTCCTAGACTCAGCGCCCCTCCCCCTCACTGACCACCCCTAGACTCAGCGCCCCTCCCCCTCACTGACCACCCCTAGACTCAGCGCCCCTCCCCCTCACTGACCACCCCTAGACTCACTGCCCCTCCCCCTCACTGACCACCCCTAGACTCAGCGCCCCTCCCCCTCACTGACCACCCCTAGACTCACTGCCCCTCCCCTCACTGACCACCCCTAGACTCACTGCCCCTCCCCCTCACTGACCACCCCTAGACTCACTGCCCCTCCCCCTCACTGCCCCTCCAGACTCTGCACTACAAAATTCCTCTGCTCCCCCTCTGTACCCCAACACCAGACTGTTCCATTATAGACTCCTCCCCCCATAGAACCATCCCTGGAATGCCCCCCCCCCCCCACCATGGCAGAATGCGGGGGGGGGGTCCGGGTGGAGCGGCCGATGTTTTCATAGTTGGAGGATTTTCTGGTTTGGGTTGTCGGAGAATTCAGGACTCGGCTGAGCGACAACCAGACAAACCTGCCAATCACAGGAGACGGGGGAGGGTGAGGGGGGGGGAGGGGGGGCACTTACTGGAAGAGGAAGAAAAATTGATTTTCATCGTTTCCCATTCCTCAGCCGGGGACACCAGAGCTGCCATGTGTGTGGGAGGAGCTTATAGGGACCCTCAGACTGCGGGGAGCCCCCTTATCCCGGGTCAGTCATGGGGATCTGTGGGGGGGATCTGCGGGGAGCCCCCTTATCCCGGGTCAGTCATGGGGATCTGTGGGGGGAGCCCCCTTATCCCGGGTCAGTCATGGGGATCTGTGGGGGGAGCTGCGGGGAGCCCCCTTATCCCGGGTCAGTCATGGGGATCTGTGGGGGGAGCTGCGGGGAGCCCCCTTATCCCGGGTCAGTCATGGGGATCTGTGGGGGGGGAGCTGCGGGGAGCCCCCTTATACCGGGTCAGTCATGGGGATCTGTGGGGGGGGATCTGCGGGGAGCCCCCTTATCCCGGGTCAGTCATGGGGATCTGTGGGGGGGGATCTGCGGGGAGCCCCCTTATCCCGGGTCAGTCATGGGGATCTGTGGGGGGAGCTGCGGGGAGCCCCCTTATCCCGGGTCAGTCATGGGGATCTGTGGGGGGAGCTGCGGGGAGCCCCCTTATCCCGAGTCAGTCATGGGGATCTGTGGGGGGATCTGCGGGGAGCCCCCTTATCCCGGGTCAGTCATGGGGATCTGTGGGGGGAGCTGCGGGGAGCCCCCTTATCCCGAGTCAGTCATGGGGATCTGTGGGGGGATCTGCGGGGAGCCCCCTTATCCCGGGTCAGTCATGGGGATCTGTGGGGGGAGCTGCGGGGAGCCCCCTTATACCGGGTCAGTCATGGGGATCTGTGGGGGGGGATCTGCGGGGAGCCCCCTTATCCCGGGTCAGTCATGGGGATCTGTGGGGGGATCTGCGGGGAGCCCCCTTATACCGGGTCAGTCATGGGGATCTGTTAAGGGGATCTGCGGGGAGCCCCCCTTATCCCGGGTCAGTCATGGGGATCTGTGGGGGGAGCTGCGGGGAGCCCCCTTATCCCGGGTCAGTCATGGGGATCTGTGGGGGGAGCTGCGGGGAGCCCCCTTATCCCGGGTCAGTCATGGGGATCTGTGGGGGGATCTGCGGGGAGCCCCCTTATCCCGGGTCAGTCATGGGGATCTGTGGGGGGGATCTGCGGGGAGCCCCCTTATCCCGGGTCAGTCATGGGGATCTGTGGGGGGAGCTGCGGGGAGCCCCCTTATCCCGGGTCAGTCATGGGGATCTGTGGGGGGAGCTGCGGGGAGCCCCCTTATCCCGAGTCAGTCATGGGGATCTGTGGGGGGAGCTGCGGGGAGCCCCCTTATACCGGGTCAGTCATGGGGATCTGTGGGGGGGGATCTGCGGGGAGCCCCCTTATCCCGGGTCAGTCATGGGGATCTGTGGGGGGATCTGCGGGGAGCCCCCTTATCCCGGGTCAGTCATGGGGATCTGTGGGGGGAGCTGCGGGGAGCCCCCTTATCCCGGGTCAGTCATGGGGATCTGTGGGGGGGATCTGCGGGGAGCCCCCCTTATCCCGGGTCAGTCATGGGGATCTGTGGGGGGAGCTGCGGGGAGCCCCCTTATCCCGGGTCAGTCATGGGGATCTGTGGGGGGAGCTGCGGGGAGCCCCCTTATCCCGGGTCAGTCATGGGGATCTGTGGGGGGATCTGCGGGGAGCCCCCTTATCCCGGGTCAGTCATGGGGATCTGTGGGGGGGGATCTGCGGGGAGCCCCCTTATCCCGGGTCAGTCATGGGGATCTGTGGGGGGAGCTGCGGGGAGCCCCCTTATCCCGGGTCAGTCATGGGGA